CCCCACTTTCTTTTCCACCCTCAGCGAGTCTCCCCCGGCCTTATCTTTCCTCCCTTATACTCTAGCCTTATTTCTCTCTCTGCCTGTCTGCGTTATTAAAATATTCTGAATTGAATAAGCAGAGGAAGGCTCCGGGAGATGTCTGCTCGTGCGTCCGTCTGTCTGTCAGTCTTCCTGGCTGAGTTTCTGACAGACACTGAGCCCCGAGGTGTCAAAACACCTCGCTGGCCATCTGACCAAACAGAGACATGAATGCACCAGACAGTGAATCACTTTGAAGCCAAATAGAGAAATGAATTTGATGAATTTGTTGTCTTGCCATCGCCAAACATCAAATCAGTTCACAGGAGGAAGAAACAATAACATTCAATTAAAATGTGTAGGTTGTGAAACAGATGGAGTCTAAAATCTAAATATAATATAGAGCAGGTTTACACTATAGGCCTCCAAAAACGCTTAAACCACTGATCCTGGAACTAGGCCAAAGTGAAATGTTCTACCATAGGAAACAAGTGTGCCTGTTTCTCATTTCAGCATCCATCTCTTCAAATGCCTTTTTAATGAAGTAGTTAAGCCACTCCATGATGTTCCACCACACGCACACACAAACACACACTTGGCACCCAGAATACAGCAAGATGAGCTAAAGCCACTTGGTTTTTCCTATGATGATTAAACAACCTTCATTTAAACCCCATGCATTGCAAAGCTGCTGATCAATTAACATGATTTACTGTGGCGGCTCCGGACATCGCCGCTCCATGGTAAACACTGACTTGGTGTCCTACTGTAGGATAGACCTTCCTTCATCACACCCTGGGGATGACTTGTGGCAGAATAAACAGCCATTTGGACCCTTGTCTCTCTCCGCTGTGACTCTTTTCGTGGAAATATGTGGCTTGAATCAACGCTCTGATGACACACAGCCATCTGTTGTTGTGCTAAGTGTGTTAGGGCATGAAGTGGAGAGAAAACACACAATCACGTTTTTTTTTTCTTTTTTAAGAATACAAAGCAGATACACATACACTTTACTGAGAATGTGAAGTTTTGTGCCACATGCATACAGTCACAGATGCACACACTAATGCAAGAACACACACACACACACACACACACGCACACACGCACACACCTCTTTCCTCAGTCCCTCGAGTTGCCCATCCTGCAAATAACAGAACTGAGGCCTTTTCAGTTTTTCACTTCATAGAACAGGAGCTGGGGAATCAAATAAATAATAGACAAAGAGAGAGGGATAGTGATAGGACGACAAGTCAATGCATCTGTTCTCTGTAACCGCGTGGCACACCTCTGAAGAACCTCTGAATCCCTTCCATTCTCCACACAGTGCAGAGGACCAATAGATTAAAACTGCATGGCACACACTGTTAAAATGAATAGCGCTAAAAATACATCCTTTTCACAGAGACATGAAAGGAAACTGTCTTTCCCCTGTCCAGTATTGAGCAGCCATTGATTCCAAGACAAAGGCTACATCTCCTCAAAGAGGTAAGAAAAATAGCAATCATACAGGCAATTATTTTCAAATGTGCCTGCAGCGGCCGATAATGTCAGTGTGCCTCTCTTGCTAAATAAAGGGAGGGAAGGCAGGCGTCAAAGCTGCGGGCCCACTGCTGAAGACGAATGAGCCCGTCCGCAGAATGCTTTGCTTTCATCTGGGCAGCATGACATGGCGCCCCATGCAGTGAGAGGCAGAGCCGGGGCCTGGGGGACAGACGCACACAGAAAGAGAGGAGAATATAGATTCTCTATTCAGCTCTGTGGGGCCAAAACCAAGGCAAAGACCTTCTAAGGACCACTGTCCAGATTGCCAGTGGCTTTTCTCTTGTAGCCCTGCTGTAGACAATTATCAGTGCAGCTCCATGGCCTAGTGCAGCCCACAGTAGGCCTCTTTAGCTGGACCTTTTTCTAAAGGCGGAGACAGAGCTCCTCTCTCTCTCCGTCTCTGTCTCTGGAGGTGTGTACTTCAGACCTAGGCCTTTTCAGTTTGATGTGAAGCAGCATTCGAGTAGCGAGGGGCGTCCTAAGCTTTCTGCTGGGTCTAGCTCTCCACACTAATGAACTGCTCCAATGTTTTGAATATAAATCTTTACTGGACTGGCTTCAAAGAAGAAAAATCAAGAGGCAGCAATGAAGGGGAGGGGCAAGGGAAGGAAGGACTATGTGAATTCAAAAAAGGGCCCAACCTACTTAAAGACAACTGAAATGGGACAAAACAAAACCATCTAAGACAAGGAGATTGGACACTATACTATTATCATTATTAGTTATTTTCATGATAACAACCTGTCTGACAAAGCTTAAATATGACAATTAGGCCCTGTCATACAAACATGAATATGAAGCGAATGCTGCAGCTCAAAATTCACCAAAGTTGAACTCCACTCGAAGCCACGGTGCCAAATGATTTGCCACATGAAGCAAATGTTTTATTCACCTCCTTGCTCGCACAGATTGGAAGTGAACAGGAGGCCAAGGTTCGCCACTGATATATTTGTGTATGTCTGGACAGGCCCTTGCACAACTGTTCTTAGTCTACCAGTTCCTAGAAACTATTATATGTAAAGAGCCTTGAGATAATGTATGCAGTGATTTGGGGCTATACAAATAAAACTATAGTGAATTAAAGTTAATTGAGTTGCTTCCTTTTAATTTTCTGCCTTAGCGACCATTAACGTCCTCATACGTGGCCTGCTGCATGCAGAACTGCTTATGCCCCAGTTTTCTAAAGTTAACAGATTGAAAGAGAACAGAGGAGCAGCAAAGCATGGCTAAAGGTAGAGAGGGACGCACTGAGCACTAGGGATGGACAAATAAATAAAGGAAGTGGGCAGGGATAAGAGAAAAAGTGAGAGACGCAGAGAGAAAGAGACAGAGAGAAACGAGAAAGACTCCTCACCTGCTTCAACCACTACTCATGTGCTGCAGTGGAAAGCCCTGCGGTCCATGCCTTGAGGCCCTGAGCCCACGCTTGGCCTATCAGTTTAAGATCAAAAAGAGCTCGCTTTAGCAAGACATATGGACTGAATAATGCATCTGCTTTAGTTCCACAAGGCTGGACAGGGTGAGTGCTATAAAAAAAGGAGGCAAATGTTTGCACCTTATATTTCCATGTGCTTATTACGAAAGTATATTTAGACTAAAGCATGTGTATGTTTGGCATTTATGAGTGTGTCTGCTTGGAACAAGTTTATCTACAGGCCAACTAGCGACTCTCCACAGTGTCAGTCATTGAGATCGGACAGTGAATGCGTTAGCCTGTAGCGTGCTGGAAAATGGGCTTCTTGTGATGTCTCATTTGAATAGTCTGACAGCCAGAGGTGGAGGAGCAGCCTTGTAATGAATTATAAATATAAGGTGGGCACGAGTTTCCCTGAAAACTGCTGAGAAAAAGGTGAAGCACAAAGTCAAATTCAGTGAGAAAGGAGGCCGCAGCCTGCCAGAGGTGATTCTCTCTACAGCAAAACAAAATATCAGTTTGGTTTCATCCTCTGGGAAACGTAAATGTAAATATACTGTAGGAAATCTATTCCGTCTAAGCAGGTCAAAGATAAAATTTATCTGGCACCAAGAGAGGGAGACAAACACAAGAATGTGTAGGTGGGATGAGATTATTTCTAGATTACTGCTGTGTTGTGCTCTCAGAGAACACAAATACAATATCTGGAATAAAGTGAAACACATCTGCTCAGGCACAATAAATCTGGCACGTATCATGAGACATAAACCTTTGTGACCAATAAGCCAAATGTCCGTGGCTTGTTAACCAAGAGGTGTCATGTCTGGAGCAGACAGTGGTTGTGCTCTTCGGCCTTTGACCCCTGACCTGTGGCCTATAGTCTGAGTAAGACCCCTGCTGTTGATGATTTAAGGCAGTAAAGGGAGGGGGACGTGGGATATCTAGTCTGAATGCTGATAATGAATTAAACTCAGAAAGGACAGGAATGGTGTGCCTTTAATTCATCAGGATAATTCCCCTCCTCTGTGGAAATTTCCTCTATTTTATATTTCTTCCATTTATTAAAAGCAAAATAGATTTTTGTCAATATCTCAGTTGTAAATGCCACCAAACCTTACTTCCCTCATCTGGAGTGACAACCATGACTCACCATCTAAACACACCTCTTTAGGATCCTGTATAAGAAAGACATAGCAACAAGAGAAGCACTCACAATAAGCCTGGGCATCAAGTTGAAAAGGCCGACAGCAAGCATGTCCTTGGCCCCCAAGCCAGTCAGTCAGTCAGTCAGTCAGTCAGTCAGACATGGTGTGAAGGATGCCATCGCTATCCCACCATGGTTAAGCTGATGACACAGATCTACTTGTTTGGCTTGAGCATTGCGAACTGTTTGCCACGTCTCAGGAGGGATCTGTGACCTCCTTCTAAATCCTCAGCACAGACAAGTAATCATTTCATCTGTGCTCAGTGGACGAGTCCTCCTCTGTCCGAAGGCCGGGGGGGGGGGGGCGCAGTGACACTGTGAAGACTGCACCACATTTTGCCTCCCCTACAAGAATAAGTCATTAAGAACTGCAGACAGTTCCATCAAATAGAAAATCTTATTTTTAAAAAAAAAAGATAAGCCTTTATTGAGATAGTGTCGCCATCTAGAGACAAGCTTATAATACTGCAAGAGTGAATGGAGGTATAGATGAAGACAAATTCACAACAACACATTTAGGAAGAAAGTGGAGACATGTTGATCAATAAGATAAGATTGAACTTTATTGATCCACACACCGGGGACTTCAGATGCTAGATACAGTGAAGGGAGCCGTGTTGTCAAATGAGGGTTTTAGCTAGAGGTCAGTAAAAGCAGCAGCCATTTGTAAACAAGAGGTGCAGGAGCAGTAAAGTAAGAATAAATAACATATTACAGGCAATAACTGCTTAGAAAACGCATTTTAATCAGAATACAGTCGTTGCTAAACGTTTTCAGGACAGAGGGCTAACTTTAGCACAACAACGCATCACCTACCTGTCCATGTCTTCTGCTCAGGGACAGAGTAATATCTGTTCCCCAGATGATCCGTCCCGACGTGCTCGCGTACGATCCCAAACGTCCGCCGGAGAGCTGAGGCAACCCGGCTCATGTTCCCGGGGAGCCGCGGAGGTGTGCTTTGAGGGGGGGGAGCAGTATTTGTGCGTCCCTGTGGAAGTCGTCTGTCCCGTCTGTCCCGTCTGTCCTCTCTCCGCTGTTAGAGCGAGTGTCCCCCAGCTGGGGAAGGAGAAGCAATAAGCTGCTCTCTGATTGGACGGCTCACATTCACCAGCCAATCGGCGCACGTGTCATAGTCTGGACTTGAGGTTTTCCAAAATGGCCGCCCGCTGAAGTGATGCTACCACAAAAACTAGCCGACCAAAACAGAAAAACACCAAAAAATAGCATTGGAACGATATTAAAATATCACATTAAACCACCGGGTGCTTTACATTAGAGTGAAATGCAGTGGAAGACGCGTGAAGATTGATTTATGGATTTTAAAAAACTACCTCGCTGTAGCTAACATGAGCTAGGTTAGCCAACGGTAGCATAGATTCAAACTAGCCTGACTTTAAATTGTAAAAGGTTTATTTTCTCACTGAAACGATGCTGGGGTTTCTGACGGCGAGGCAGACAGGACTGGATGATCCTCTGAGACTGCGACGAGCTGAGTCAACGAGAAGGTGAGAGACATCAACACAAAGAGAGACATTGGGTTTGTGTTATGTCCTGACAGGAAAGCTTCACCTTCCATTTCTGACAATTGTATCATCTCGTTAAACACCTCCTCTGGTATTATGATGCATATGTTCCCAATCTCTTGTGCACATTTACAGCTTAATGCAAAAGTCAAAGGGGTCATGTGGCAAAACATATCAAGATAAACATGTTCATATCGGTTTATAACTATAATTATCACGATAAATGTCACATTAATGCTTGTTTTAAGTTTAAAGGCTGGTTTGTGCTCCTGGGTGAAGGTTGTGGTCATGGATCTGTGCTGGTGGCACCATCTGTTGCAGGACTCCTTCTCCTTCTCTGCTGAAAAGATCAATCCATTCTTTATGTTATTTTGTATGACTGTGTTTGGGGTCAACGTATATATTTTATATATTGGGTCAGATTGAGAAAACATCTTTTAATTTGAGAATCTTTGGGCATTATTTGCTTATTTAGCTAAAGAATTGAACCTTTAGTGACATTTGTGTCTCCCCGCACCCATGTTTCAAAAATTATTTGATATTGAAAATGTATGAATCAGTGATGTAGATCTTTTCCTCTTTCTATATCACCAAAGGGTCCTTGGTCTGGAGTTGAATCCTGACAGAGATGTGGACCGAATCCATGGAAACGGCATCAACACTATTGACATTGAAGCAATAGAGGGCAGATAGTAAGTCTTGGTTTACCACAAATCTATAAATTACCACATTACTATGAAATAAGGACTCTTAATTTCAAATGCAACATGTCACTGAATGGGGCACTGTAAAAAATGCAAGCTTACAACTGCAGTAAGTTCTTTCTATAACTGGAAATCATTTAAAATGAAGATATTATTATACTTGAGTTTTAAGACATAGTGCACACGTGCGATGCTCTTGCTACCTGTGCTGTCCAAAAATGTTCTATATTATATACCTGACCCAGGAAACAATAAACACAAGTTGGAATCAGACCAAGCCTTCTGTTATTATGGTTAATCTGTAACAGATTATTTCAGTGTTTTCTTTGACAATCTGTTACTTCAGATACTTTGTGTCTATCATTGATTGTGTTACTCAACCCATTGCTACATTATATTATTAAATAAAACAGAGGCTGATTTCTTCATGGGTCAGATAGATATTTGTCCAGTTAACTGTAATGGAATCTGTCCATGCTGTGGTTGGTAGCATTGGACCATTGCTATTGTCACACTCTGTTCAGTGGTGAATTTGCTTAGCAGCTTTTTCCAGTGTTCTAGTCCCAAACACTAATTCACAAACCCCAGTTATGAAAAGCTGTGTGAGGCAAAATAATGCTGCTTGTGACGTTCTCCTTTTCTGTTATTTAGCATGTTATCTGGAGGTGCAGATGGAGTGATCGTTATCTACGACCTGGAGAACTTCAGTGGGAAACCACAGTATACCTGCAAGGCCGTCTGCACAGTTGGCAGGTAAACTCCATTTACCCATTTTGTCCACTAGAGGGAAGCATTGCCCTCATCAGTACCATGTTATTCTCAGCTTTGTCACAAACCTGTCTTTTAAGTGTATATATATATATTATAATGTTCATAGAGGTGGAGTGAGCTGAATTAGATTTCTTCACTCTTCACTCAGATTCTTAATAAAAACACCAAATGAAATATGTTTTTGCCCACATTCAAATTATTATAATTAGATCCAATCCATATCAAATATGTGCAAATGTGGCTCTCTGAACAGTCATCAGATTCAATTTGCTGTTGTAAGACATGCTACAACGTGGCTGAAAAGAATGTACAGTAGATGCACGGTCCACACAGGACACATTTGTTTGTTCGTCAACATTTTGCAGTATTAATGCAGTAATGTGCTGCCACATTATATTACTTTTATATTTTTGAATTTAACAGAGGAGAATTTATATAGGAAACAGTTTCAATAAGGATGTGTACATTTGCAGTCTTCTGCTGTAGGTTCATCCCTTTTTTCTTGTTTTTTTTTCCTTCTGTAGGTCGAGCCGGTATGTCCACAAATTCAGTGTCGAGACAGTTCAGTGGTATCCTTATGACACAGGCATGTTTGTCTCCAGCTCCTTTGATAAGACCATGAAGGTCTGGGACACAGAGACACTGAAGGTGAGACACGTTACTTTCATACAAGTTTATACCATGTTTCATGTGAGTTCCTACAGGGTACTTCTGTACAATTACTTCTCCTGCATATAATATGTAAAGCTTGGATAGACAAAATGTTATACTAAAATATGCTGCAGTCCAGTATAAACACACACCAGAGTGGTAAGTCATTATCTCTCACTGTGTCAACAAATACGCAATGTCATAACACAAACTTCCTGAAATTTACTGCACAGCAAATGGATTTTATTGCATACAATTTTATCATGATTCTTGTTGCAGGCAGTGCACATGCATATCAGACATTTTTAAATTTTTTTTTACAGCTCCACTACCGTCTTTCTTTTTGCTCTTTTTTACCATCTCTTTCCCTCCCTTTCTTATTTTCTGCTTCATGCTCTCTACTTTTCTGTGCCACATAGTCCCATATGGCAGGCTCCGAACTGTGCTAGAGTTACACTGGCATCACGGTTACCTCAAAAGGTCAGGCAAGGGACAGAAAAGAACCCACCTACCTTTCATTTGTTTTACTCTCTGTGGTTCTATTCATCTCCATAAGCAAGTGTATTACAAACAAACACATTAATGTATTTTTTGTCGTTGCGTTTTATGCACATTAGTGTAGGCTGTGCATTGTTTTGCACATTGTGTATGGGTATGAGCGTTGTTTTATGCAAACAGAGCCTCCTCTCTCTGTGTGTGTGTGTGTGTGTGTGTGTGT